CATCGAGGACGATTATCATTGTAGTTTTATAAGTCGTAATAAACGTAATTTAAAATACCCCAACTTAATGTTATTACATCTACATTACATACACAACAAATTGGCGATAAGGATGGGATTGAGGTATTGAAGAAAAGTGTAGTTAAAAGTTAAAAGTACACTGTAAATGCATACATTGTTTCTTGTGCCCATTCGTGAATGTGTGATAAGTGGACGAGATAAAGAACTTACGTATGTACAAGGAAAAAGGACTTAACTGTTGAAATCACAAAGGTGACAAAGGTCCACGCTGTTGAAATGAACACCTGTGAATAATTGTACCAAAGAATTATTCGTGCAATGCGAAGGAAATTCGTGTCTCCGTCGTATATTCGTCAGTGTAATGACTTCGTGGAAGTTCAAGGAGCACATCCTGATCATGTATATACCGGGTGTTCCAGTTTTTACGATCAAACTTCTTCAAACTTTGTCAGTATTTTCTATGTGTATATATAAGAAAAAATTGTTATATAAACATAGGTCGTTCAAAGCTTTTTTAAAAAGTTATAACAAAAATGCGAAATACGAAGGGAATGCTAATGGATGTGCGGTTGCTTCCTCAATTATTCCTCAATTAGTATTAACAAATTATTCAATTGTTCTCTCCTGACACCGACAATAGCTAATAAAATGCAAAATTATAGGCAAATTTGGTAGCCATTGTATAAACAGTGACTAATTTTTTTAATATCATATGTGACAAGTAAATTTTATTTTAGATATTGTGAAATAACGGTGTCAATGATTTTACTATTATATTCATCGAAAACTTGATGATTGTTAAGTTTGGTATTTTCAAACATGGCGATCTTACGCGGTTGTTTGAACCAAATTTGAAACGAAGATGTAAAAATTACATTCAAAATTAAGATGACAAATAAATAATCTATTAAAAAGCACAGAATTTTACAGCTTATTTGCACGTAGATATTTTGAAATTTATCTAGTACAATTAGCTATAGCAATTTCAAACAATGCAGTCCTTTTCTTCTTTTTCTTTTTTTAAATTATTTATTTTCTTCCTTTTATATTGTTGAAATCAATTATATAATTATGAGTATTGGTATTATTAAAAAACAGATTTATAATGTGCTACCACTTATAGTGCATTCGAACTATCGTAGGAATTGAAGTAATAGTAGGTATTGTATAATTGAAGTGATTAAGCGTTTATTTAACTATTAGTTTGTTTAAGTATTTGCTAAACAATTAGTCCATTCTTTCACTTCCGTCTTACGTAAAATTCATAATTAACGTAATTAGTATTTTTAAAATCATTTTAAATTTTAAATAATAATATTATGAAGCAAAATAACATTCCTTTAAAAATACATTATTTCAAACAATGTCAGTATCGAAAGTGTTCAAGTTCACTTCAACTTGTTTAACACATACAACGTAATTAACATATTTCGTAAAATTATTTAATCATCTCGATTATATCTTTTCAATGAATAGAAATTTTTCTTCCATCAATCAAATCAGTTGTTTTTAATTAGCCAAGGAATCATTTGTTAGGAAATGAATCGAACGAAACATACGCTAATTTCAGCTGCTAATTTACGTTTCATTAAGTGCACACATTACCTAGTGTAAACTAGAATAGAACTCCACAAAAAGAGATTAAGAAACTCTACGCACGGCCATCCACATTGTTCGTAATAGGCAGGAAAGTTGAAGTATATACAGGGTGTCCCAATTTTTTCCGATCAGATTTTGTCAGTATGTTCTGTAGGCATAAGTAAGAAAAAAGTGTTATATAAACATAGGTCGTTTGAAGCTTTATCAAAAAGTTATAACAATAATACGAAATAAGAAGGAAATGGTAACAAATGTGAGGTTATGATACAAAGTAAGAATAAATTAACGATATGCACATCTAGCCTGTTTATGCAAGATGCATTTACAATCTGAGGTCGTCGAAGACGTTGAATATAACTTTTGCCAGTGCCATTCTTGTCTTGTATCATAGTAATCACAAGATCGTTACCATTCCCTTCGTATTTCCTACTTTTGTTCTAACTTTTTAAAAAGCCTACAAACGATTTATATTTATATAACATTTTTTTCTTATACCCATAGAACATGGCAAAGTTTGGCAAACTTGGCAAAGTTTGATTGAAAAGAACTGAGACACTCTGTATATAGTCAATGGAAGAAATATAGCGAGATCGTAAATTAAAGCGTTAAGTAACAACACAAATTAATGCAGTGATACTACCCAGGGTCGCGTACGGCATTTTATAGTTTGCGATTCAGTCTGAATTAAAGCTAAGGCACACTTGATACAGCCCTGACTGAGATTTCGAAGATTTATCTTTGCAGATTTCTGTCGATTTGCCGGAACATGCTAACTTTAACGCTTATATGAACTTATGATCTCGCTATATTTCTTCCGTCGACTATACTTGTGCAGAAAGAAGAAAGAGAGATGACCTGAATCAGAAGTTCATTGACCTTTGACACTGACTCGCGTATTTACATGACATCGGGAGCACGAAGAGAAGCATAGAAGTAGGGATAAACGGAAAATGGCAGAGAAAGGGAAGAGTGGTTGCCTTAACCTTGACCCAGACAATCCTTCGGTTCTGTCATCCCTCGCTGCGTTCACAAAAGATACATTCTTTGTCTCTTTCGCTGTTTTGCCTCGCTTGCCATAACTTTTTCCCTCTCTTTTCGCTTATTCTCTATATTTGCCCTCTGTTATTCGTGTTCTCTTTTTTCAGTACGCTCAGCGCGTTTCGTTGCTTCTTTCTCTCTCTCTCTCTATATATATTTCACTGTCTCTCGTACGGAAAAAGCCGACACGCGATCAATGCTCGACGAGGGGGCTAGCTGCTCGAAATATGTAGATAAGGAGAAACTTCTAAATATTAAAGGAACATTTGCCCTGGCTCTGAGCTTACCCTCTGTCTTCTGCGAGCAAGGGATAAAGAGTCGTCCGTTTCTATCATTATGGATTTTTCCTTCGTTGTCTATTAATTCGTTTATATCTTCTTTTTCTTCTTTCGTTTGTTTGTTTTTATTTATTTCGCTTACTCATCGCGTACGTAAACGGTTCCGGTCAAGAACTTATTCATTCAGAAATTTCTCTCTTTTTCTCCTATTTATTTCGCCTTAGCATTTGCCTTAAAGTCTTAGTTTAAATTTCGCGGTTTAATTATTTCGGTGGATGAAAAATTATTTTCTATTGACAATGTACTTAATAAAAATAATACTTCTAAGCTGCTACTTTAATGATTAAATCGTGTTTTTCGATAGTTTTTAAACTAGTGAGGGGTACAAATAAATGCAATGTATAATGTAATAATAGTATTGAATAAATATGCTATTGTTTGTATTGTTTGAGTAATTTCTATTGTTTATCGTGTCTGCTCTGTGTATTAGTTAGGTAACAGTGATAGTTTCAATTACAATAACTTCGAAATTAAAAGTTAATCTCGAAAAAAATATTTAGAGTGTTTTAGGAAATTAGAAATGTTTCAGAATTACCATTCAATATCAATTACCTTATCAATTTTTTTTAAATTAAAACAACTTTTCACGTAAGTTACTTAATTAACAGAAGTTAACAACAACATTTGCTAAGGATTAATTAATATAATTATGACAGTCAGCTAATTCTATTTTTTTTTTAAAGACAATTGGATTTTTGTTAAATTTTTACTTTTCACATTTGAAGAGGATGAAATTCAAGCAATACTTATTAGTTCCGTAAATGTTGCTTCGAATGTATGTGTATCATGTAATTTTATTTTTAAAGCCATACAATGAACAAACATTGACGGAACATTACTACGTGTAATTTGAATTTCTAATCTGAAGAAAGTTACGAAAGGAATAACAAAGTTTTCGTAGCTTGAATTTTCTAGAATTGTAGCACAAAGTATAGACACAGACGAGGTACGAAATAGACTTGTCACCTTATAGCACTTCGTGTTTTATGTTCTGAAATACCGATCGTGCAAAAAATCAGAGGTTTTGTTATGCCCTCTATGATTTAGAGCGGTGAGTTTAGACATTATATTCAATCCAACCACTAAAAATGGAAAAGTGGACAGATATAAAAAGATTCTTTTTTCTTAAATCTCCATGTAAAGATACATATTTTAACGTCCACAGGCTTCTTTGCATAAGGGCACTTACGAATCTGTCAAATTCCCCATGGGAGTGGTTCTAACGGTGACCACCAGATGTCTCATCGAAATCTCTACAAATCTCTAATTTTCTTACAAGTCTAAAAAAGTTCCACAATCCTCATTCCTATATGTATACTATACTACATATCTTAAGACTTACTTATTGTTAAATGAAAGAGTTGAATTTTGGCAACAGCACGGAATTTCTTCTAGGTTTTAACCACTTCAGTCTTTTGACCGTTACAACTGAATTTTGGTTTACCCTTTGAATGGCGAATTTTATGATATGGCTTCAGGCTATTGAGGACAAGAGAAACGACATTCAAAAGCTCTGGGTTGTAAACCCACCTTTTTTTCGCTAGGGCATAATTTAATTCTCGAAATGCATGCCAATAATAAAGTCCTAATTTCAAAAATAGTCTCTTTGGCACGTCCGTGTCAAAAACTGCTGCTTTAATAATTAGAATGACAGATTGCCACTAAACATCCATAAACTATAGTAGAGTATGTAAATACACATGCAGTCCACAGATCCCTCGACCGTATTTTTTGAGCAATTTGACAAAAGGTTTTAATGCAATGATTTGAATGAGATGTGATTAATTATTCATCCTGGAACTAAATATAAGTAACACATAATTATGACGTTATTGTAACACGGTTATAACATAATTTAAATTGAGCAAAGACAAAAATACTTTTTAACGATGGCTTTAATTTTGGAGGTGTATCGAATAATACGAATTCGTAAAATTACTATAAATAAAAACGATTTTATTATATGTATTCATTCATTCATCAGTTTCACAGAATTGTCTTGGGATGTAAATCAGTTACCATCACACATTCACACACATTTCTTGAGCAGCATAAATTATTGTGATCCAGTCGACAGTAGTGCTAACAGTGCACTTGTCACGCTCACGGAAAGTATGTAATTTACAGCTGGAGTGAATGTCTTCAGAATGTAGAATGAAGATACAATTACAAGTGCTAAGAATAAGGTATTGTTATAGAAGATTGAGAATGTTGTTGCTTCATAATCAGCTACCTCATTTTTCTTCCACAAAATCCTAGAAATTTGACCATGTTACAATATAGTATTAAATGCAGTTTGAACATATCGTATATTTAAGAATCTTTAAGTACCTCTCATCTTTTTCCTTCTTGCTCATCTTCTTATCTTCTGCTAACTTTCTGCTCATTTCTCTTGTCACTGCATCTGCCCTTTTCACTGCAATCTGAAAAAAGCATACAATTTCACTTCAGAAAATAAAAAAATTATAAACACATCACTTTATTTGGGGGGTTTATTATCCATTTACATTACCTTATGTTTCAACACAAATTTGGTATTTTTATATGCTAGGGCAAGCGCGTATGTGCTAGCTAATGTGATTAAAACGAAGGAAATTAAATTGGCGTAGATGTTGATCAAGTGAATTCTCCAGAAAAGCCCTGTAACGAAAGGATAGAGGTTAACTTTGAAAAAGTGCAACTATTATGTAAATATTCATTTCATCGCAAACCTATAATATAAACATATACTAAAATGGATCGTAGCATTTACAAATATTAATGTAACAATAATATCAATCATATTTGTGGAATTTCCAACATGCTGTACTCACAGATGGGGATCGCCGAAACAATGAAAGCATTTCCGTAAAATAACGCCGATGACTTGGTTGATACGTTTCGTGAAAAGTCTTGAAGAAGAAGCTCTTCTTCTTTGGTAAATGCTTTCGATTTTCCTGACATTTTTCGTTCCGTTCTCTCAGATACTTTCAATTTGTTCCACACAACTATCAGACTGCTTCGCCGTGAATCGAAAATCTTATTACCTTTATGCGCATGCGCAGTGGTGGACTGTGTGGAGATCTGTGTGACAACGTGTCCGTGCAAACGTCATTTCAATGGGAGAAGAAACTCTGCCATCTAATACAATTTCTTTTAAGTTCTTTATCATGCCTCATTCGGTTATGAAGTATTCTACTTTATTTCTTGCTCATTCTACAGATCGATAAATCAAATATGAGGTTTCAGTACAGACGACGTACACGATAGACCTTTCATCTTATGGGACTTTTTACCATTTGAAAAACTCTTACCATTTTAGTGTCACTTCCAACATTACCGATTCAGCATGAAATAAGATTACAACATTAGTAGTGGTTGGAATTGGAATTAAACGTAACTATGAAATTAGAAATAAGATGATTCGTCACATACGCGTGTTCTACTGCTGTCAAAAGATCGTGAACAGTTCTACCCAAGCAATCCAATATATGTACTTATATATCTTTATATGCAAATTTAGTAAAAAAGGATTTTTTACATCTTTCGATTTTACCATCTTTGATGGTTGGATTGTATGTTATTCCTAACCTCACTCGTAATTATGTAGTTGTAATGTTATTCTATTCTGAATCAGTAACGTTGGTAGCGATACGAAAATGGTAAGAGTCTTCTCGACCGCAAAACCCCAAACAAAACGTCCCATAAGATGTAAGATCTATTCTGTACGTCGTCTGTGGTAAAAGATCTTTGGTTAAATCCGCATAAACAATTGATATTTGAAATAGAATTTCTTTGAATTTTTCACTTTTGATAATAGTTATTATAAATTGGAACATAATTGCATGTAGTAGGTAGTCTAAAATTGTTACTTATAATAAATATTTCATTCCTTTACTATAGAATCAAGTACCTTGACTATAGAATAAGTAAGTACTACACTCGCCGCATTCAAGCGTAAGGCATTTCCGTCATTTTCATTAATAACTCAATAATTACGATGAATTTGTGAATTTTTAGGACTGAAGAATGAAGTGTGGACCTTCAATAACTTTCACATATAGATCATAATACACTAGACCCTTTCAATAGTTAGTTACTAACAGTTTTAGTATGTGATGTCGGGAACGATACCGCATACTTTTAGGTTTTTTCAATAAAAGCTTTTCTCTAAATTCTTATGCACCTATGTGCATCAGAAAGGCAACTCCCGTAGATTCTCATATAAGTTTTGTTAACATGTTCGGTTTAATTTAAGAATTATGAGAGAGTCCCCTATTCATCTCACTCGAGTATAGCCAATTCTTATAAACAATTGCTAATATCTACTAAAGTACACCACATACGCATGTAAAAATTATTGGAGAATGTAGACAGAGGTCTATACTATATTCTGCATGCCTAAATGTGCAGAATTAATCATGCATAGTCGTGAAAATGGAGTTAAATCCGTTATACTTACCCAAATAATGTTTAATATCTAGCAAATTACGACGGATATGTTGATGAATATATAACGAGAAACTAGCTAAGGGAAAAGCCTTTTGAATGCATGTATAAATGTGCATAAATTATTTGTACAAAGCGACGAAATTAATGAAAAACCAGAACGATGTGCGGTACTGCTGCCGACACTACGCACAATAATTGTTAATAACTAATTATTGAAAGGGTCTAGTGCATTAAAAACTATATGTGAAAGTTGCTAAAGGTCCACACTTCATTCTTCAATTCTAAAAGTTCACAATTTCATCGAAAATAATTAGTTATTATTGATATTTCTCTGGCCGACGAGATTCAACGCATGGAAAATGGTGCCAATGTGTAGATTAATACGAAACTCTCTCATATAATGTTTAATAACTTCTAAAGTACAAATGATATGTCAATAAAAATTATATAAGAATACAGCCAAAGGAGTCCCCTTTCAGATAAATGCAGTTATTTGTAGCAAAAGTTGGCAGAAAATTATGAAATTATTAAAAAACCGTAAAAGTATACGGTATCGTTCCCGACATCTCGTACTAAAATTGTTAATAACTAATGATTGAGAGGACCTAGGGCATTAAAACCTATATAAGAAAGTTTCTGGAGGTTCATACTTCTTTCTTCAATACTAAAAGTTCACAAATTTATCGTAAATAATGAGTTATTAATGGTTTTTCCCTAGCCGACTTTATGTAGCGTCTGGCAGACGGCCATTACGACCCGTGGATCAATAGGAAACGTTTTCGCTCTGTCCTTCTCGCACAGCAGTGCGTTCCTTGTCTAATACCTTTGTTCACATTCTGTGTTCCTAGTAATGAGCCGTTAGTTCGCTCAGCCAAACACGAGATGGCTCTAGTTTCACTTTTGAAACCTTTCTATCCTTGTCTACTCATATTCTTTTCCTTATCTTACTCATTTCTGTATTCATAAATACCTCGACGAGTTATTCTTCCTGATAAGCACGGTAACTGATGGGTACATCACCACCTCCCAATAAGAATTACACAAAAATTAATCACAAAAATCAACCAAAAAATTCTACATTAATCACTTAAACTCCCTACTACACATTGCAATAAAAAAAGATAATAAAAATTAAGAAGTTTCACTAATTTAGAATCACAGACGAGATACAGAATATGTACAGATCTATCGCAACAGACGAGAAAGAGAATAGACCCATCACCTACCTGTAATGTATTTTTCTTTCATCCCGGAGGTTTTAGAGCCCCCTTTACCATTTCCGTATCACTTCCAACGTTACCGATTTAGCATTGAATAAGATTACAACATTAGTAGTGGTTGGAATTAGAATTAAACGTAACTATGAAATTAGAAATAAGAAAGTATCGTAATTGTTTATTAGTAGATGACTCGTCACATGCGCGTGTTCTATCCACGCAATTCAATGTATGTATGTATCTTTATATGCAAATTTAATAAAAGAGGATTTTTTTACATCCGTCGATTTTACCCTTAAAATGTAACTATGATATTATAAGTAAGGTACTATCCACGCAATTCAATGTATGTATGTATCTTTATATGCAAATTTAATAAAAGAGGATTTTTTCCTAACCCTTAAAATGTAACTATGATATTATAAGTAAGGTACAAGTCAGAATACCTTATAGTAGTTCACGAAGTATTCTGTACTTATATAACACATATCATTTAAATTCCTCGGAAAGTTCCATCGTCTTATTTTTAAAGAAAGTAAACCAAGGTTTTTTCAATGAAACTTTTATCAATTAATCTACATTATAATTGCTACCATTACTTATAATTGTCTTCCATATGTCCAGCAATTTATTTGTCCTCTTTACGTAAAATTTAGCAGTTTTGCAATTGAAATATTTTTCCAGTATATTCCCAGCTTGAATTCCAACTTTAAAATTCTTTTCTATTAACGAATTGTCGAAGAATTTTATTAGGCGGCAGTCAGATGATGCGAACGAAGATAAAGTGATATGAGAGATGACGTATTATTTTCTATTCTATTTGATTCAAGAATAATCGAGCTAGTTTTTTTTTAAAGTGATATAAGTCTAATTTTGAAAAATATGAGTTAAGAATTAAACCAATGAGTTAAACCTTGGGACTTGTGCCACTTCAAAAAGAACGGCTCAACTGTTATTGCGTAAATGTTTTTTTTTGAAAATGGTATAAGTCCATTTATAGTTAAAAAAAAAAACCTTACGTTTCTTTAACAATATTAGTAATTATTATCACATAATAAAATTTAACATGTTTACAATTTTAGAAACAGTAGACGAAATTATTAAATTATTAAAAAGTAGTATTTTTTAATTAATTCAAACGCAAACCTTTAAATATCTCAATTTAAGATTAATATACATTTTATATATTACATTTTTGTTGAGCACTTCCAACAATAGAGTCTGAGAATCTGGGAAATGATAAATTCCTACCTTCCCCAAATAAAAAGAAGTAATTATTTGTGTGCAACTGTAAGTTTCAAACAGGTTTCGGAGGGAAAAAATATCCCGAAGGTCATCAGATCTTGACAAATTCAATGCATCTCGTGTGTCACAATGTCAAAATTGAGGTAAAAATTGAGGTCATAGTTGCGGTGAACGGGAAAGAAAGAGTTCGATGCCTTCCCGCTTGTATAAATATAATATACTAACAATATAAATATACATACTAACTCTAAAGATAAGAAGATACAATTATAACTTAAAGACATGCAATATGTTACTGAATTAGTAAACAACAACTTGGAATACTATTAAAATACATTACGAACTGCACAATAGTTCGATAATATAGTCTACCTGTGGAATAATTTATTTTATTATTTAAATGTTATTATTTAAATACAGTTTTATTTGTTTCATTGGTATAAACTATAGACTAACTGTTCAGAAACTGAACTGATTATCTGTTATGTAGTCTACTAGTAGACAGTTCTACTATACATATAGTCTAGATCAATGTTTCTCAACCTCTTTGCCGCAACATATTTGTTTGCAATGGTACCGCGATCCAAATCTTTATAATATAAAATTTTTGAAAACCTAGTAAACTGGAGTCACTGTATTTTATATGAATGAATCAAATTATCCATATTTGACAATAATTAAGTAATAATAATAATTTTACTCCACCTTATTCTAGGAATAAAATTGTTATTAATTATTATTGTTATTGTCATTTGACAGATAATTGGACATTTTGATAGCGATGCGAACGGATGAAACAACGCGCAGTCATATTTGAACGTACGTTATCTGATATTCATCGATGAAATTTACGATGAAACTATTCTTGAATACGCCTAAAATTATTTCACCGTACCTCGCTTTGGCGCAAGGTAGCAGCTATCATTTTGCGACCCACTAAAAATGTAACGCGACCAATAGGTTGAGAAACACTGGTCTAGACTATATAGTAGTCTACTGGTAAACTATACCTATAGTAGACAACAAGTTTGATTTCTAGTAGTCTACTAGTAGATTATATAGTAGAACTGTCTACTAGTAAACTATATAGCAGACAATAAGTCCCATTTCTAGTAGTCTACCAGTAGACTCTATAGTAGACAACAAGTTCGATTCCTAGTAGTCTACTAGTAAATTGTATAGTAGAACTGTTTACTAGTAAACTATATAGTAGACAATAAGTTCGATTTGTAGTAGTCTACTAGTAGATTATATAGTAGAACTGTCTACTAGTAAACTAGGTAGTAGACGATAAGTTCATTTCAAGTAGTCTACTAGTAGACTATATAGTAGAACATTTTTCCAGAAGACTGTACAATAGCCAATATGTTAGATTTCTGAACAGTGAGTGTATAGTTTGTACTAATGAAACAAGTAAGATTGTATTTAAATAATTACATTTAAATGATAAGATAAATTAGTATATATCTGATGTGAATATTGAAAAGTTCATTTGAATAAAATCCTACCCTGTAACAAATCATCATGCCATCCGTTCTTTCTCTGCCGCAAGTAACTATACATTCTTTACTTGCGCATACTTATAAATTATTCTATTTGGAAGAAGTATCGGTCGCTTTTAGAATGAAGTGGTTCGTCATTTCTTTGTTTAAAAGCTTAGATTGAAACATATACCATGCACGTAATTACTCGAGAATATTTGCATTCCTCGTGTAACGTCCAACAATGACAATTTGAAGAATTACGAAACGAGGAAGAATCGTGCATGCCATTTAGAGTTAGAACATATAACACCTCACTTTATCTTTATTGCATTTATTTTACTTTGTTTGCTTAGAATCATTTCACTGAAATAGTACGATAACTAAGTACTGCGTGACACGGGATCTTAATCGTAGATACAATCCTGAATATAAATACTGTAGAACAGGTTCCATCTAATTTATCAGAACTATCGTTTGATAGTACAATAATTCGAGATAACGTTCACATAGTAAAGCCTGATCGTCAGTTTTAAATTTTAATTTCCGACTGCTTCATCTTTCTAATTATTCTTTATTTACTCGCTTATTTTCTGTATCTTACAAAATTCTCTTTTTAGAAGACTTCAGAAGTTTCAGAGCTGTAGGTGGAGGCGCAAAAATCCCAGTAAGAAAAGTTGCCGTGTTTCTTCAATATTAATAGCTAGAATACGTCAAAAGACGCCTAACGACAGTTTTATTTAAGGAAAACTACTTGTAAATATTAATTTTTACGATGTCAATGCACGGAAGCTTTTCAAACGTCAATAGCTATTTGTAGGTGATAGTTGAAAGAAGGTTAAAAGTTACACATTAGTCTTTAAGACGGTACACCACACTGAGGCTTCTAAAAATAGGTAAAGATTGAGAATTTTTTTATAGGTAACTACTCAATAGAAAGTTTTAAGTTTTTTTAGAGGATATAAATGTAACTTTCAACTATGTTCTCCAATTTTTAAAAAGTAAAAATGTTACAAAATGGAGGAGTTATTGCGGAACCTCTGGCAAGAATTGGAACGTTTGAAATAAAAAATTCTTTCTGATTTATAAATAAAAATGTATTATCTATTATGATACGTTAATTATTTAATCTTTTTGAAACGTTTAAAGTCGATGTTTTTTTTTTTTTTTGTAAAAACAGGTTTTTTCTCTTCAAACTCCCAGGTGCTATAAAAGCTAAAAGGAATAAGACTAAAGAATGGTCGTGTTCTGATTCATGTGTAGGACAAACCCAACCGTGTAAACTAAACAATGGAGCAAAATTTCTTTGTATAATACGATAAACATTGCTATGAATTATGTTATGGTTTCAAAATTGTTGATAAATTTATCATCATTTTCATAAATATAGTATTTTTTGTGGTTTAGTTGTATAAATTTATGCACACTCCGTTCATAATTATTAAGACACTTATTGAATATGAACTAAATCTAAACAGGTATTACAAAATATCAGGATTAAAAAAAAAAGTTATTTAGTTTGGAATCTTGTATTATAACAAGCACATAAAAATTTACTGATACTTCATTACTTTAATACTACCACTAGATAATTCATAACTCCATTCGTAAGTTCTAACAAAAAGGCAATAATTAAATTTTGTTTGTTTGGTATGCTAAAAGTAGACAACTCTATGTAGCAGTAGTTAAAAACATTAAAAGTGGCTAAAAATCCATGTTCAATGCTAAAACTAGGTGATAAACTCGGTTTTTCTACTTAGAAGATTAAAATGTACAGTTGCAGCATTATGGTGACGATACGATACTAACTTCGCTATAAAAATGTAATTCAAATCATATAATACTTTTTGTCCGAATATAATGGGTGTCCAAATACTTATGAATGCCAGCGTATTATTACTATTCTAGCTCACATGCTTCAATACATGTATAATATTAACGCTTATTCTTTTCAATAACTCAATTTATTTTTTGTCTTCATCAATTGTCAACTTTTCGATTTATTCTATTCAATGATAATTGTATTCATTACAAGATCAGTTTATCAAAGGGGCAGTTTAAATTTCATGCAAGGTGCCTATAAACGAGAAATACAAAAAAAAAAGAAAGAATAAATTGGACATGGTATTAGCGATTACAACACATCTTTTCACCAGAGAAAAAGCCAAGTTCATTGAGGAAGACTACTTGACAAAAGTAGCGTGACTATAAGGAAGATCGAAGCTCTAATTTGAATATCGGCGCTACGTCAGATGTGATTGTAATTCATATGCACAGCATGGATTTCCTGGTGGCGCGAGTTACCGTCTGCGGAACGTCACTTTCTTTGTCACGTTTTCCGATTTCGTCGACCCTGTATAGAATGAAAAAAGATTCAATCGAGTAGGTATGATACCGTCATTGCCAACATTCGAATTACAACTGTTCTGTGCTGTAATTTCGAGCCGAAACGATCTGTGATCCTGTTGAATCACTAGTAGACATGAATACGGTTTCCAGATTTACATTGTCTGCATGTATATGTATCGCTTTCGAAATGTTGTTACGCCAATATTCGAATTAATTGAAATATTTCAATTTGTTATTTTCGTAAATTGTTCCAATTTATTGTAATCTGCGCATAACTGTTTAATTGCTGAGAATAATGTATTTATTATTGAACTATCACTATGTTCCATTTTGATTAAGTAAAAAAAAAACACGAAATTTTGAAAATAACACCAAAATGTATTGAATAATTAATGTAAAATTAAATTTGTTAAAGTTAATGTAAATTTTATTTTCAACACTTAACTTTTAACTCCTTAAGGACAGATTTTATTATTATACAGAAGCTTAGTTTAATTTCACTAGGGAAAATATATGAAAGAATTATTCAGTTTTTTTCACAAAATGAAATTTACATACAATATACAGGGTGAGTCACGCAATTGCAACGGGTTATTACTTCTCTTGTTAAGTTGAAGATAGAAAGAAGTTGAATCATATAAGAGAAACTATACTTCTAGGGACTCACTTCTTTCGTTAGTCCAACGATACATCTAAAAAAAAGAAAACATTGCACTTATGAAAAAAATCGTAGGAAGACAGGTCTTTTTTTTATCCCATTTGACTTTCTCTTCCACAACTTTTTCTACCCCCAACCAAACATAACATGTATCTCGTCCAAATTTCGTGCCTCACCCTATGTAACGTGTAAAAAAAGATGATATTAGATAGTATTTAACATAAAACTGTAATTAATAATAATTTTATGCAACTGCATAGTTACTGTAATTAATAATAATTTTATGCAACTGCATAGTTACTGCAATATTATTCAAACAGTACTATTATACTTTGAAATGAAATGAAATGCAAATGAAATGTCGTTTTTTCAGCAGCTGAAGTTGATACCACACATTATATTTTATCTGAACATAAATTTTTATACAAAGTAGTCAAGAAGAAGGAATTTACTGTAGTACACGTACATATATCGAACAGTAAAACGATTCATAATATAATTGCTTGGATGTTATTATATTACGCGATGAATAATCGGGATATGCGCATAATTTTGTTTACATAAGTTTAAACTTGAAAAAGCTGTGGTAAAAAAAAGCTGTGGTAAAAAAAAGCTGTTGAACATATAAATTTAGCATTTGAAGAAAATTATGCAAATGTTAGGGCATTTCAAAGTCGGTGCGCAAGATTTAAGATCGATGACTGTTTGTTGGAAATGAGCCAAGAGCACGGCTAAATTGGCCATTGGATGATAACGTTTTAAGAAAAATTATTGAAAACAATCCATGGTAAAGAATATGAAATTTTGCGGCATTCTCAACAGACCATTTCTTCAAACACTCGAACAACCTTTTCAACAAATAAATCATTCTGAAACGAAGACACTGTAAAAGCAGCGTTCAAAGAATTTTTACATTCAAAAACTAATGATTTTTACATACTTGGAATAATGAAATTGGTTAATCGTTGAAAAAAGTGTAGGTACGGAATTCTGCGAAGATGATTTCGATTGAACACATTATTTTTTGAAGAAATTACAAAGTATCTAAAAAATCAGTCGTCGTCTAATATAGATCACCTAATCCAACTCGGTGTGTCCAAAGACACTTGTCAAAATGATATTCCTTAGATTTCCAATTACTTGTTACATCTGCTCCTATTCTTTTCTACACTTCCTCGCGAAGATCCGCCGCGGAAACAAGTGTCATTCAGTTCGTTTCCGTGGAACCGGTGAAGTGTCATCGGTGCAGAAAACTGAAAAAGATACGAGGTCATTGTACAGCTGTTTTCTGAACCGTGCCTCGACGAATATATTAACTTTGTGTTTTCATTTTTTCCCCAAACACATCACACCAGAAGTGCCGACCTTCGTAGCGACCATTGAATCTTATCGTCGGAACCGGCTACGGTACGATCAAGGTCGTGGACGATTCGCGCACGCAGCAGCCAGTGGCGCGCTTTTGTATTGCTCCGCATGTACTTATATCTCAGATCGCGACAACCTCTGAAAGGGAGTAGAGGAACACAATTTCCGACTTGCACAGTGTAGTTGTACAGCAGCAACTTGGACGGAAAACAGGTGTTATTCGAAGGTTTTCAGACGTGTTAATTTGGTTTCTCAAAGGACCAAACAATGAAAAGGCTGTGCATGTATTTCGTCTTGCAACTGTGCGTGTTGACCGCGTCTCAGAAAACGTCGTTAGATTCACCAATTAATCTGTATATCTATCGTCATGTTCGTAATTGGGTAATAAAAAATTTCGGTATGTGTCTAGTTGATAATATTACTTTTTTATAGTGCGCTTGTTTTAGGATCTTAGAATCTTACTACTTTTAAATTCACTTGTTGGAAGAAAGTAACGAGAGAAAAAAGAGTAAAACTTTTGTGGAAACGTACAACGAATAAGTAGAAATCTTTCTGATTTTCTGCCGAGTGGTACGAAGTTTTCGAAGAGAAATGATGATGTATAGTGTGTTGGGGGATGAATATGGTAATTGTAGGATTGGTAGTTTAGATATGCTCACCGGTTGTGAAATCGTATGTGAAACGCGACTGTGCAATGATAAAAACTAAATGGAAATGATAAGACGTTTTTACAGTGAAAAAATTGTGGAAGTTTGATCGTAGATCATTTATCCCATCAGTTGTCCTTAACTTGGAAAAATATGTCGAAAAATCATTACAAGTACTTTTACAAACGTTGCACTTTTAATATTTACTCGTGAAATGTAATTATTGCTATGATTATACGCTAAAATACCGCAAAAAGTGCAAGTAATTAATAATGATCTTGTAGGGCCAGGAGACGACCCTCGAAGGTATGAAGCAGGAGCTTACGGGAAAGTTCAGGATGAAGTTCCTATTGATGTTCCTTTTCCTTGCAATGTTACAGGTGATTATGAAAGATTTTTACCTATAACTCGGTGATAAAATTAAAGGAATTATCGATTTCAAATTACTGTTACGAAGCATTTCGTAATTAAAATGTTTCCATTTTTTTAAATTATCATACGAAATGTAATATTTTCATATTATTTTTGCTTGTCGCCGTTTATATTTATTTAGTTAATATCTCATGAATATAAAATGAAAGTTAAAATAAAATTTTAATTGCAATTTCAAATATTCAAACCAAGTTTTAAGTGTTGCAAAGATAAGTGTATCTCACTGTCATAGGCATAAGTATTAGGACACCCATTATGTTCGTGTAGAAAGTTTTGTATTATTTAAATTACATTTCCTCTCCAAAGTTGGTGTCATATATTAGTAAAAATATGTACTCAGTACACTTCGAGATTCTGGAATGAATAATTGTTTTCTAGGATCTTAATAATTTTGTAATGATTTTTGTGTGTCAAATAATTTTACATATTCAGTAAGTATATTTTAGTAGATTTCAGTAGACGTCGGTAGTATTCAGTAGATATTAGTAAAATTGAGCAGAATTCAGTAAATTTCAGTGGATTTCAGTAGATTTCAGTAGATTTTAGTAGATTTTACTGGATTTTGGTGAATTTTGGCAGATTTCAGCAGAGTTCTGTAAATTTCAATATATTTCAGTAGAAACCAGTAGATTTCAGTATACTTCACATTCATTAAGTGCCCTGATGCTTATGAACGAGAGTGTATTTCGGGATTTGGTCTAGTAATATTTTATACTTGACGTATTTCTGTTAATTATGAAGAAAAGTTATCCTTTTGTTATATTTCAAACACTTCAACTTATTTGTCAATCAAATTATAATTTAAGGAATAAAAATCTATCTTAAGTTTAACATTAAATAGCGGACACATTTTGTACGTTTCCTGTGATGATGGAGCAAAATTACTTAGTTTCAACGTGATGCATTTGAATATGCATATGTAGCAAATAAGAAGTAAAATTACTACTGCATTTTAGTACTTTACATCGTTATTATAGCAATTACAGATGAACTATGTTATGTGGCGTGACTGGTAGGCGTATACTGGTCACTAATAACGCTACTTAATGTGTTAAAATATTCATGCAATTTTAATATTTTTCTTTCAATAATATATGACATTCGTGATAAATATAATCGAATCCTTGTAAAACACAATTTGTTATTTAAATAACAGTTATATAAATGAATCACAAATTATAAAAAAATATAAGATATGGAAACAATTTTACTGTGCAACAATTTCAACGTGTCTATCAATTATTTCATGAACAGATTGTGAAACTATAATCTGTTTAATTGAAAATAGTGATTGTCATAACTTACAAGGGAACATCCCGAAGTGATAATCACCGATATTGATGAAACTTTGATACATAGTAGTATTAAAAAAAATATTTGACACGTATTTCTTTTTCCTGCACATTGAAGGGGTGAAAATCGCCCATAAAGATGGAAGTAATAAACATACTTGTTTTAAACATTTTTTTATTTTTCATTCTTCAAATTTGTTGATGAAACATATATAATTTCTCAATTTACACTATTCTTCTATATCTAATAATTTCCGAGATATTAGACTAAATATGTTTACTACCTCCAACTTTCAGAGGGATTTTCACCCCTTCACTGTGGACGATTACCGGTATAAAAAAAGACGTGTGAAATTTTTTTTTTTGAGAACTACTGTATGCCAAAGTTTCACCAAAATCGGTAATTATCACTTTGGGATGTTCCCTTGTTGGTGCGACTATCATAACTTATCGTTCTACATTATTGTAACGGAATATGATGTTTTCAGGTGGCAGGTCCTCAGAGATACCAGATTCAGTTCATCGTTTGAGACCAGGTGACATAGACGTTATTGCTGCGATGGGTGATTCTTTGACGGCCGGCGTCGGAATCTTTGCAACCGATTTAATAGGACTGCCCATTGAAAACAGAGGCGCGGCAGGGAGTATCGGTGGTCAAGGAACCTGGCGAACGTATTTAACGCTTCCTAATATTCTTAAAGTACGCTTACTGTCTGCAAACTTAGATTAAATAGTTGCAAAGTTAAATCGACGAGCACGTTTTATTTGCTTTACGAAGTACAGCACGTGTCAGGTTGCTACGTAAAGAAACACATTTCATTGTTTCTTACGCTATCAGCACGAAAATTAATACATTGTACCTACTGTTTCGCTATGAAGAATAGTACATTTTGGATTTTGCGGCAAAAACTAACACGTTTCGATGTGTGGTCAGTTTAAATTGTCAAAATGCACTTTGCATGAAAAAAATTCAACCTTTGAAAGCATTGTTTAATAAATAATAACTCCAGTAATCTCTAAAACGTACAAAGTATGAAAATGTTTCTTAGTCTCGTCTCTGGTGTACTCAAGAAGCGAATAAACCGAAGAGAGATAATAGCCGGGAATTCCCAGAACACATCCCTGGATAATAGTCGCGACACGGACTCGAGTCTGTGTCAATTAAGCGGGGAATGCTGTATATTATGATCAAATCAGGACAAAATTCTGATCAGACCAAATTCGGATAGATCTGACTTACATTAATCCCCCCCAATCAAATCTTGTCGATGGCTGTCTTATAAAGCTAAATATATGTATAATACTTCTTTTCGTAGCGAACCATTCAAATGTGCTACTTTTCGTGACAAAAAACGAAACGTGAAATTTTTCCTGACAATAAAGGCAAACGTGTTGTTTCTCGTAAGACAAATGAACGTACATAATAGTGAAATTTTCTTGTTCACAGGAATTCAATCCTAATTTAGTAGGCTACGCGCTTGGTGATTCTTTAACTTCACATCCAGCTTCACAGTTAAACGTCGCTGAACTTGGTGCGATGTCCAAAGATATGCCTTTCATGGCGAAATATTTAGTCAATAGAATAAGAAATGATTCAAGGATAGATATAAACAAGCATTGGAAGGTTTGTACTTTCCATTAGATACTTACAGAAGTTTATAGAAATCAAATAATGTCGAATAAGATGTACAGGGTGTCTTTTTTAACTGGATACGGTGGAATATCTCGAAAGGAACTGAAGCTACCAGAAAAATGCTCTTACGAAAGTTGCTTGGTATGATGGGGGACATAATGTAGTATAGTTTTTTCGCGGGTGAAGTAGCGAGGAAGATTGCAAGATCAAGTTTATTTTTTTAAATTAAACGTTAATTCAAAGAGGTGCAACATTAAGCCACTTCGTTTTATGGAATGTAAAAGCGTGAAGAATTTGTATTAGTAGCACAGTCAAGTAGGATTTAGCTGGTCGATGACGGTTTGTGATGCATGTTGACCTCATTCCTCGATTTTTCACTACTTTACGATTCTTATTTTAACAAACGCTACCCTATTATGAAAAAGAAATATAGCGTTCTGTTTAAAAAAATAAACTTGACATTGAAATCTCCTTCACTGCTTCACCCGTGAAGAAATTATGTTTCCCACTGTACCAAATAATTTTTGTAAGAACATTTTTTCCTTCTGAGATATTCCACTGTGTCCCGTTAAAACAGCACCCTGCATTATATTATTAGATCATTTAATAGCAATAATATTAACAATATTATTGTCAGCAATATTAAATTATATGTACATAATTTAGGTTTGCAGTAATTTCTTATTTAAAGTGAATCTGTATATTTTATTAATATTTTTTTGATATATGTTGCTTTTGCGCTAAAAATCATATGGTTTTGGAAAATATTGCTTATTGTGATAATTTGATAAATTGCACTAACTTTCAACCACAATTAAGCAAATTTTAAAAATTGTTAAAAATATTCAATTATTCGATCCTTTTCTGAAAAAATTATACGGCTCTTCGTTTTCAAAAGAGATCAGGTAATTCCATTCGTCTAATAATTTATAACATTCTAATCGACTGAGTAATTTTGTTATTAGGAATTTAACTAATTTTACGTGTAAATTTTTTTATGTAGCTTTTTATCTATATGCTTGAAAAACACGCGTGTATTTATATTTCTATCGCAACACTAATAAAATGTGACCGTATAAAAAACGTATCTAATTTAAATTCTAATGATGTCATTTTCGACAGCCATACAAGCACCTCATTTTCTAGTTATTACTTAAAATATTGATTTTGAACATCTAACAATAAGATATAGCTCGAACAATTATTCTAAATAAAAATTGTTTTACATAACTGTTTTCCTCATAAAATTTTCCTCATAAAATTATCCTCATAAAAATCGTTTTCCTCGTACATTTTCTTTTATCATTACATTGGATAATTTAAGCAATAACATTTTTATTTTATTGTCTTCCAGTTGATTTCGATATCTATTGGAAGCAACGATTTTTGCGCTGAAATGTGTGCAGTTTCTTCTCCATGGTCACTCATAGAAAACCACAAAATCGATCTGATTAATACTCTTAGGATATTAAGGGACAATTTACCAAGGACTTTTCTTACTCTAAACTTGCCACCTCATTTAGAAGCACTCATTGCTACACGTCAAGGAAGAAGCTCGTTGAAGTGCTACGCAATGACAAACTTAGAATGTCCGTGTTTATTTGCTTTGCAATACAGAGACCGTAGACCGGAATATTACGATATAATGAGAAGGTCCGTATAATTTAAAGAATCTTCAAAATTGTATAGTCGGGGCCACGATATAGCGAGGTCGTAAAATCGGTTAGGCGTCAAAGTAAACATGTTTTAGCTGCCGGGACCCCGAAATTGACAGAAATACGAGCAGATAAGTACTTGAAACCATGGTCAGGACCGTACAAAGAATTCTTGTATCCAGCGAAAGTCAAACTGATTCTAATATATTTACTGAAAATTGAGTTCAGCTAGGACAATTTAGGGTTTTTTTCTTCTGGGAAAAGCCGCATTTGGAAGTACGGTTACAAGATGCAGATAGAAAATGCAAAAGGATTGTGTAGCTTTAATATTAACATATTTTCCATTTGTAAATGAAATACCATTTTCTACTTGAAGTACCAAATCATATGCTACCATTCGTTTATTGTTGGAACCCTCAAACAGACTGCAACACACGGCCTTGAGTGCCGCAACATCAATCGATGCCGATTCTTGAGAGTTTAATTTACGACCTCGCTATATCGTGGCCCCAACTATACATATTATTTTCAAAGCATTGTTTGTCAAGTAATTCATTTTATCATGCTATACAACTTTTGCATTATTTCCAAATGTATCAGGTCCTTTTATTCATATCACATCCATGGAAAATGACGATATAATCGGTAATTATGAAATTATGTCTAAATTGAAAAATGAAATTTTTAGCTGGCAGGAGTTAGAAGAAGAGATTGCTAATTACGAAGAATTTCAAACAGATGATTTTACTGTGGTAACTTTACCTACCCTTAAGCGAGTAACTATACCACTTGCAGAGGATGGTTATTCCGACGTATCGTATCTATCCGCCGATTGTTTTCACGTGAGCCAAAAAGCTAACGCACGATGTATGTACAAGCACTTGAATTATACAGAGTGTCCTAGTTTTGTTCGATCGAACTTTATTAGCATGTTTTCTAGGTAAGAAAAAAATGTTATATAAACATAGGTTTGAAGTTTTATTAAAAAGTTATAACAATAATAGAATATACGAAAAGAAATCAAACAAGTAAACAGCAATCGAAGCAGTGGATAAAGTAGTAAGAATTGAAGCAGAATACACATGAAAACGCAGATCAGTAGAAGAATTTGAAGGACGACAGAAACTGTGCAGACATATTGAATACATAATATAGCCCTGATTGAGACTTCTTATCTTCTCGTATTTTTGTTAATTCATTTGTTAGAACACTCGAAACATGTTTACTTTGACTCCTCACCGATTTTACGAGCTCGCTATATTTCTTTCACCGACTACACCGGATCATTTGGTATTCACAAGAATTTATAAACAGTTGTGTTTGACCTGCTCATTTCAACAAAAGCAGTATTACTTCTGTGGATGTATGCATGAACAAAATTACTCTAGTGAAATTCGAAATTTCTTTAGTAATACTCCTGAAGAAAGTATTTTGCAAGCTTCATATCAACTAGTGAGATCTATATAGGATCTACTATCTGACGAGTATTATATGCTGACAGTAGCCATTCGTATCATCATACAGTGGTAGAGAAACAATTGCCAACTCGTGATCAGAAGAGAATGCAATAGTATTAGGTCTGTACAAAAGTTTCCACCGCTTGTAAATCAATAATACTAAAAGACACTGTGTGTTTCTCTTCTTTTTTCAATGTTCACAGTTTGTATTTATTAAAAATAAATACACATTCTCCACGAAAATACGATAGGAATTTTTGCACAGACTTAATACGCGTGTGCAGTCCAAGGAAATAATAATTTTTCACTAAAAATTGTACGGACTGACAAAACAACTGTGGCGATATTTGTTTGCACGCTATACTGTAATAAAGCGTTTATGAACCTGTGTTTATACAGCATGTTTTTCTTATTTTTACGTGCTGACTCAGTTAGGCAGGAAAAACCTAGGACATTTTGTGCAATTTAACATATCTTGTACGATAATCATATGTATAAACAAATTACTTTATTTATTTCCAGTTGCCAATGGGATATGGAACAATCTGTTGGAACCAATTGGTAACAAAACTGAACGTTGGTACGCACCCTATGAAAGATTTTTATGTCCTACTGAGGAAAGGCCATACTTGATGACTATTAAAAGTACAGTGAAGGAAAATACTGTTTCAGAATTGATTTAATTATTGTAAATGTAGGATTGTTTCAGGCTTGCCATTCGATTAAGATACTCAATGGAGTAAATCTAGTACAATGGAATCAAAGTGCCATCTTAAATTAGTACCACCCTATTTATTTTCACCATTGTAAAATATTTATTTGTAATTAAAAGAAATTAAGTTGTTTTTTTATAGTCGAATTTTTGTACACAGTTCTAAATTTCTCTTTTGTGTTAAGTGTTATTTAATAAAATAAAAATATTGAATTATATGGGAATGTACATACGTATATTACAAAATTAAACTTGTCAGAGTTACAAGCAATTTGTAATTACGCTAATGTAAACAATCAGTAATGTACAAAAATTGTAAAAGTAATTAGAATATAAGTGCTGAGGAATTGAAAACAATAGCAGGAATTGCAATACTGTCTAATTCAATGATAAAAAAAATAAAATATAATTATGAACTGAAACGTACGTTTCAGAAACTATTCAGAAACGTGATTTTAAACACACACTTGAGATATTTCATTAAATTGTTGCTGAAAATATATACAAAATATTATATAAACATTATTAGTTCTTTCAACTTTGCGAGAGTTTGTAAAGGGAAAATTCGCTCTATGGGATTTTCAAATGAAGAGAATCATGGTTTTCTTGTCAGTATATAAGCGTACCCAAATAATTAATTCATAACATCGCGGTAACTTACAAAAAGACCCCGAATATCCATAGAAAAGTCCACAAATATTGCGAATGATCATAGAAAAATTCACAGGCATTGATCAACAGACTTATAAAAGATTAAAAATATACCAAGATCATCACTTGACCGAGTAGTCTTTTTTTCACTATCGTTGCTGTTGCTTTCCTTGTGCGAGCACATAAAAGTGACCAACAGTTTATGTATGTAAGTGTCACATGCATAACAGACGTCGCTTGGGTTGTTGGGCTCGTTGGTACGGCCGAACAATAACATCGGTATTTTCAATAGACAGCACCTTCTAAAAAGCGAGGTCTTAGCCGACATGGGCAAATTACTTTATTATACCAAAAATTCGCCGACTCTCACACTCGAACACCACATACCCTAAAACAGAACTTCGACATCACCAATTTCAGACAAGCAATATAACAAATGTAAGAACAAATTCCCCACTTTTACACCACCATCAGACACACCCCAAACAAATCGAAAAAACCAATCACCACTTCCACCAGCTACGACAGCTTCACACCACCAATCACAATACACAAGTAGTTTATAAAATAGCGAGCACAACACGACACGACACACAATTTTCCGACCAGTAAACTTAGACATTCGCGCTCGGTTCACGTTCATTTCCAAATACACAGCTTTAATAGCAAACTGTTGTGCGTTAATAAACAATCTTCCGCCCCCTAACCTGAGTCCCTTATCCCGAGTAGATTCTTTCAATGGTCTGACTCAAAAAGAGGGACAACTATCGGTTTCGCAACAAGCATATTGCGATTCGTAACATAAGACTTTCCAATGAAGGTTCTCGGACGTTCGAAAGTAATAAGCATGATTTTTGGGGTCGACGAGCCATAATTAGTAATGTGATATAACGCAATCAATACCGTTTTTTCTGACATTTTTTGCAAGGGACGATTTGGCAACAAAAACGAAAGGATATTTTTCAGCACAATTACTGTTCACAAGTGTTATTATATTTTTAGTAATTTCTATGTCGATTGGTCAGTACTTGAAAATTTGTTTATGGTCATTCGAGATATGTGTAGGCTTTCTTGTAAAAAACTACAGTATACGAATTTGTATATTAATTTTAAAGAAAATGTTAATCCTCTTCATTGGGAAATCTTGTATAATGGGTTTTGATATGCTCTTGTGATTTTGAACGAGTAGGCAGGTTTAATGTTTAATCGATAATTTTCTTCATAAAGTGTCGTAAATAAGTTGAGAACCATGCACTACAGGTTTCGATGACCAGTGATTCACCCTCAGGTATACATTACCGGCCAAAATTTTTGATCACCTGCCAATTTTCGTCAATATTGGATCTGCTACTAATTCCTTATAGATTTGAAATTGATGATATGGAGATCAATAAAAATTTACCTCATTTCGATTGATTTGAATGATCAAAGTTTCATTAGAAAATTCTTAAAATTGCTAACTTTATTCTGGAAATTTTAGTATAACTTACAATGCATAATGATATCAAATTTTTGACCGGTAGTGTATATTGATATTGGGTGGATTAGTAGATCCCAGACCAACTTTGAATTGTTTATAACTAAAAAATAAAGCTGAATTTAGTATTTTTTTTTATTCTTGATTTTCGTATCAGTCTTTACAGTTTGTTGCTGAACACCCTGAATATATCAGAAGTTTAACCCAGTTACATA